GGATGTGCCCGCAACCAATGTACACGCCCTTGACCGGAATTGAACCTGGGACCTTTCAGTCGCAGACCATGCTCTTATCCACTAAGCCAAACCGGTTTTGGCCTTCCCATAATTTCTTGAATCTGTTTCTATTGATTGGTTTTTCCCCCTGGGTAGGAGTTATATTTTCCTCTTTTGAATTCTGATAGTTTATCAGATACTAAATATGGTAAATTTTACTTTAAATGCTGCATTTATTGTATTCCTTTTTAGTGTTGGATTTTGTTCTCCAAGAAGTTATTAATTATGAATGAGTTAAATTCTTTCAGGGACTGCCTTTAATCTTTGTTGAGTGTAAACAATCAGCCTTTACTCTAGGGCTAATTTAGCTCCACGAGATACAATAAGAAACACAAGATACAACCCAGGATAAAGGGGAGATTAATAAAATTTGGTCCGTTAGTATAACTCTTGAGCATAGTGAAAAGTGAGCAGGAATTAGTCAATTGAAAGCAGGCAGGGAAGGCAGGTGAGGGGAATGGCAGGCTATGCTGAGACTTGCATGTGTAAAAGCCTAGAGATGGGAAATACATCATGTCATTTGGACAAGAACTATGTAAGGTTCAGTTTGACTGAAGGACAGGAAGGAAAGAATGGAAAAGATGAGGCCTGTAAAGCAAGCAGAGATTAAACAAGTATAGCAAATGTATTTGTTAAGAACCATATTTCTCAACCACTCAGAACATTACCTACAAGTTTTAACAAAGCAGGACTTTTTGTTGTAGGAATCATGTTTGGAGTGCAAAAGTGTAAGTGAAATAGAGTATAGACATTTTATTTCATAAAACTTATTGCAAGCCTTTATTAATATGTGATTTGCTTACGGCTTTTGCTCACATTTTTCATCTACTTACTATTGTCCTATTATATCATTGATAGGTTTAAAAGTTGGGAGTTCTGAAGATTTATAATGTGTCTTATTTTCTTATCCATAGAGATAAGAAAGGACAAAGGTAGGAATCCATTTTCAGGGCTGGTATAAATTAGAGACATAAATATCTACCAGTGTCCAGCATATGCTAGACACTCAATATCTTAGTCTCCTTGGACAAAAGCCCTAGGAAACAAATCGTTTTTTCTAGCCTAAAAGTTCTCAATCCAGGCTGCAACTTCCAAAAATATTAATACCCAATCTTTATATAATTTAACAGGTCTGGGTGGAGCCTGGGTATGATATTAATTTTAAAAGCTTTTAAAGTGATTCTAACATGAATGCAAAGTTTAAAACCGCTGACCTAGCCAATAAAGGCTAACCTTTTCATCCTTCTGAAATCAAGGTGTGTGTGTGTGTGTGCATGTGTGTCTCATACAAAACAAAACCTAAAACATGAGCTCTGTTAAGAAAAAATAACAACTGCAGGCCATAACTGACACGAATAAGAGCTGGCAACACACTTGGCTGACTTCTGAGATTCTATTTTTAATGTTACATCCACACTGGTTATGTAATATTGGGGCTAAAGGTTTTACATAACAAATCCCTTAAAATTTGTAAACGAAGTAAAGATTTACAAAAATCTTCATTCGTTAAAAAATATTTCTATAGCAAAATTTCTTCTTATATGGGAAAGCTACAGTTTCTTTACAAGTTCAAGTTTGATTTTTAAAAAAATATATTTTATTTGATTTTTTACAGAGAGGAAGGGAGATAGAGAGCTAGAAATGTCGATGAGAGAGAAACACCGACCAGCTGCCTCCTGCACACCCCCCACTGGGGATGTGCCCGCAACCAATGTACATGCCCTTGACAGGAATCAAACCTGGGACCTTTCAGTCCGCAGACTGATGCTCTACCACTAAGCCAAACCGGTTTTGGCTCAAGTTTGATTTTTTTAAAGGCACTGTTCACTTTGAATCCTTGTTTTTGTTTTTTGTTTTTTAATTCCCTACTCATTTTGAGGTTCATTCACTTCTAAAGAGGACTCTAAGAAAATTAACTTAGTAAAAACAAAATGAAGCTAACGCTATGATGAAATATGGCAGTTTGGTAAATGTTTATATGTGTGTGAACAACTTATATTGAAATATTTTAGACTTTACCCTCTTAGTTACAGGATCACTTTTACCTTACTCCTAGTCTAGATGATGTTACTGATACTATTTTTTAATATATATACTTTATTGATTGCAGACAGAAAGGGAGAAGGGGAGAGAAACAGAAACATTAATGGAGAGAATCATTGATTGGCTGCCTCCTGCATGACACCTACTGGGCAAGTGCCCTGACAGGGAATTGAAGTGTGACCTACTGGTTCATAGGTCGATGCTCAACCACTGAGCCACACTGAGCTATTAACAGTTTATGTTTCCTAGTAAGTTTTCATAAAATGTGAATAACTTATCCTTCTATACTTCAAAAATATTTAGTTTTAGAAATCTAAACTCTTGCCGAAGCCGGTTTGGCTCAGTGGTAGAGCATCGGTCTGTGGACTGAGAGGTCCCAGGTTCGATTCCGGTCAAGGACATGTACATTGGTTGTGGGCACATCCCTGGTAGGGGGTGTGCAAGAGGCAGCTGGTCGATGTTTCTCTCTCATCGACGTTTCTGGCTCTCTATCTCTCTCCTTTCCTCTCTGTAAAAAATCATTAAAATATATATTTTTAAAAAATTTAAACTCTTTAGAAAGTACAGGATGAAAAGTATGTACAAAGTAGAGCATTCTTATGAGAAAAGATACTATATATAGATATGCATGGTATTTCCTCTGAAATATTCATTTAAAAAGCTCTCTTTGTATAGAGTATATTATGTGAAGTACACATAGAAAAAGATGTACTAATATTTAAGTAGAACGAAATACATAACATCAAAATTACTGGTGATTTCCAGTAAGATCTGTGTACTGAACTAGATCAATTTTATTTTCCTTAAATTTTGCTGGGCACACATTCAACACTGTTTATAAGAGGTTAGGGAAGTTTGTAAAGCTGTAGCATATGAAATGACAGCTATTTTTACAAATAACATTGCCATAAAAAGAACAGAAATGAGAAAGAACATTATATATTTTACTTCAAAGACTTACTTTTGAAATATTTTGTTCTTTCCCAAATGAGTTAAAATATAATGGATATTCTGAACCTGTCTCAAAGTCCCCGATAGCTGGACATTGGGAGATACCTTTACTTCTATATCCAAAGGATTCTTCTGTTACCTTACACTGCACAGCATTGAGACAAAAGCTCGGGTCTCTAGCCCCCTGCTGTCCCGCTTCCCTGATTATTCAGTTGGAAGAGAAGTGGTGAGAAAATACCCATTGGAGAATGAGCTGATTCCCTTCTCCACCTTGAGCTAGCTAAGTGTCATGATTTAGAGTTGCATAGGCACCTGCTTTGTTTATGGGTTACCAAGTGCTTGCATGACTGACCACATCACATTTTTCTTCTCTGAAAATCTCTCGGGAGAGGTTCGGGGGAGAGGGAAGGGAAGGGAATCTACATTTCTCAATGTGTCAATGAAGATCTTTAAAAGGACAGACTTAGGTTTCTAGTTTTTCATTTTTGTCAGTAGTGAGACCTAATAAACTCCTTTTAAATAGCAATGAGCAGCTTCATAAACTGATTACCTTGGACTGAACTACAGAGAGAGATAGCAAACTCAGCCTTGAGTAGGGCCTTAGAACATTTGCAAGGGGCAGAAGAAAGTACAAAGGCTAGGAATATGGCAGGGGAAAAAACCTAAAACGGAGAAATAAAGCTTTAAGTAACAAGGATGCTAAGGAATAAGTAGATCATAGCAGTCTTTAATATTAGCTTATTTAAGTTCAATGAGGTGAGTTTTTTAATGAGGCTTCTGGTTACCCTAGTTCCAAGTCTTCCATAGACATTAACACTTTAAATTCAGCAAATAATTCTATATTTTTAATCTTAAAAGGAAGTTTTTAATTTCAAGTCTTTGGTATTAGAATTATCAGAATACTTTTAGTGTTAGATACCTAAAATTTCACTTTTTTTATCACTTTAAAAATTCAGTACATATTACCATGACATAAAATCCTTAAATGACTTGATATTCATATATAAAACTGTTTATTGGTCTACCATATTTTCTGGCGTATAAGAGGACCCCCTAATTTTAGTTAAAACATAGGTTTAGGCTTATATTCGCTGTATAAGACTACCCCCCACTTCAATGAAAAGACTTACTTTGCCGTCAAGATCTGCAGGTAATTTTTGTGCAATTTTGGCCTTTTGCCCCTGATTTTTGGTAGACTTTTTTTTCGGTTAAAAGGTCGTCTTATACACTGGAAAATACGCTAATTGTTTTTTTAGGAAGTTTCTAGAAGCAACTGGGTCCAATATCAATCCTCAAATTATTAAATGACTACCAATTTCAGTGAATGCTGAGACTGATATAACTTCATTATAAGTCATTATCTGACCTTTGGATAAGTAAGCACATAGGAGAGCTTAGAAATTCACCATTAGGACAAGAAGAAGCCCACAGGAAAGGAAGTGCAATTAAAAAACCTCCTAGTTCATTCATTTATAAAGAAGAGAAATTTTGATTAATACTGTAAAGAATTTCCAGTTGCTAACTAATCCAGTCATTTCCCCAATCTTCTTGGCGACTGGAAATAGGCTAGAAGTGGGAGGTAGTGAGTAGAATGAAGATGAGAAGTGTGTGTTTAATCACTCCCATTAAAAGTATGGGAAAAAGATAAACCCCAAACACCAAAGAATATTCTTTTCTTAAAGTGTTTTTAAAATAAATGAGACCAATCTCCAGAACAATGTACAGCCATGGGTAGGTTAGCACCGTTAGGAAGGGGGACAGTGGGATAACTCTTGAGCACTGTATAATCAAGACCAAGGAGATCTGACTTGTTTCCATTTCCTGGCAGAAGAAAATGTGAAATGGTAGCAGCTGACATTTTAGCTTATCTGAAATGATGAAATAGAAACAATGGTGCAACACATCACTTAAATGAAAAAAGAAAACCAAAGGTACACATCTAAATGTATGTGCTCAATGTTTAATATTCTGAGGATTAAGTAACAAAATCAAAAAAAGATTTTTTTACTTGACTGGGTTTATTTTCTATGAATTCTTCTCCTAAGAGTTAAAAACAATCACACGCATTGGTTTAGAACAATCAGATTTTTACTTCAGGAAAATCTAATAATACCTTTCATAAAAGTTATAATTTTAATGTTAGCACACACAAAAAAAATCACTCCCTAACATTTCATTTTAAAAAAGCTTTCCCGCAGCCAAAGATTCCTATTTTTTAATTACAGTACTGCAAGGCACATACAGAACTCACCTCCTTCAAAACACACAGAAGAGGGACTCCCTGAAATAGAATTTTTAAATCCCTAAACAATTAGAAATACTATAAAGTTAGCAATGTGTAGGCAAAAATGTTGCTCCTATAGGATCATGCACTTTTTCTTAAAATCAAGTCATCATGTACGTATAAATAATTCCTTTAAAAACATTTGTACTTCAAATGCAGGTAGTGATGCTGAAGACAGCATTAAACAATCCTGACAAGTACAAGAGCTTGATAAATTTTATGTTATTGCCTTCATTAGAGACCCTTATCATCTCTCATATTTTCAAAGATTTAAATTTAATAATGGGATAACTACATAGGAAATAAGGGCTTTTCTTCTTTTCAAACAATATTTCCTTCACCTCTAACATAATTCTTTTATGAAGGATGCTAAGTGAATTAAAATTTTTGTTCTGTAAAACTGAGGATAGGAGCATTTAAATGCTTCCACTAAATTTAATGCAGCTTAATTAGGGACCAGGTATATATTTTCCTTTGAAAATTTTTGGTCAAGCATGTCTAAGCATAAAAGCAAATGGAATTTTAAGAGGTAGATTTTTCCCCCCATGATGCATTTTGTTAATAAATCTATTGTCAAGAAAATAAAAACAAGCACTGAGTGTGTTTTCTTAAAAGTATAAGGGTCTAATGAAAAGAAAAATAAAAGATAGCTATGATACTTATTACAGTGTGACATTTTAACAGTCAAAGTATCGGGTGTTTTGTGACCAGTGCATTTTGGACTCTCTCAGGATCAAAATACGAGTCTGCTGACTGTATTAAACCCTCCTCCACCCCCTCCGCCAGTCGGTCCACAGCTTCCTGGTGGGTCATTGTCATCAAATCCATTTGGCCGAAATGAACAGGAGGCAGAGGCAGCTTGAAGGGCCCGGGCTCGAGCATTCAACTCTTGTTCCTAAAATTAAAAATAATTTTAATAAAGTCAAATTCCCAAATACAATGGATGAATATATCACCTGTATAAATATTTTAAAGCTACCTTAATCCTTAATAAGCATCCTTCAAATCTTAGTAACTAAAAATACTGACTACACTAATTCTTTCCAAATCTTACTACAGTAAAGTACATAATCACAGATGGAGCAAACTTGATAAAGAAGAAAATCTTGGTGTAAGTCTACAGAATGACAGACCCAAAAGTCTGTTTGTTTCAGTATCAGACTACACAGAGGAGGAAACTGAAGCCCACAGTCCAAAAATGTCTCTATATTTCATTTCATCCCCAAGAACTTTCAAAATACAGTAACACCCATCAGTACGTAAGAATGATTTTTTCCCCCTAATATACAGTATGCAGAATTAAAGATTATGACAACAGATTATCTACTCTAACAATTTTGGAAGTGGGTGATTACGATAAAAAGTACAAATAATGAAAGAAAGCTGGATGATTTTTAATACCTTTTTCCTTAGAGTATTTCTTAGTAAGTAAAATATCTCAAAATACTGCTAAGGAAAATGGAGCTTATCTTCTTACAGTAACACTGAAAACTTTTCTCTACTTGACCATTAGCAATTTTATCAGGAATTATATTCACCTATGTGCCAGACACCTATTAGGTGCTCAATAAATATTAATGATCTCAGGTTAGAACACTATTTGATACTTATCCACAAAAGAAGAAAAAGTGAATATGGCAAATTCATTTGACAAGTTCTAAAACAAGGCTCTAAAAACTGGCACCAACTCCCTGGAACAAGATATAAACTATTCTGGCATGTACCCATTTTTCTGGGAAAAGGTCTACGCCTTTCAAATGAGGTCAATGTCACTCACCCAGGTCTAAAAGCCACTGTGGTAGCAAAACCCTTAACCTGTTAGGCATAATCATCCTCAAGAACTTTCAAAATACAGTTAACATTAATAACAATAAATGTACTATATCCAAATTTAGCTTCAAGCCCAGTTACGTTGCTCCATCTGGCATAGTAGCATTATATGTTTTTTGTTTTAAACAACTTACCAATCTGAGATTGAAGATGAAACTTAGAATTGCACAACACTGAAAAGCTGAATGAAAATACATAACCCTTTTATAGGGACAATTAAACAATAATAATAAATGGTGCTCAAAAATTGTATAGTCAAGGGAAAATGGCAAGTCAGAAAAAATCATTTAGAGCTAGGCTGCAATGTAAATAGATATTACAGTTTATAAGTATAAACTGTAATATCTATTTAATATCTATATAAGTGTTTTTGGCATTCCTATCACAGAAATTGTAGTTTCTCAGCTTTTCAAAATCCACGTCCCTCCGTTGATAAATATTTCACTCAATCACTGCAATATAAATAATATACATATTTCCAAAAATCAAGATTGCACTGGGTCATATTTTCTGTATTTTATATTATAGAAAATTTCTACTTCAACCTAACCCTCTTACCCTTACCCCACCTCTTTAATCTTTAAGAATCGTGATGCTTAACATCCAGTGCTTATTTGCTATCTAGGAAGGACATGGTTGAATACATTATATTCTCTGGATTATAAGCCTTCTGACTGGATGTGAGAATCTTGTTTCTAAATCAGTTCTAACAAATACTCTAGAGTTTCTAATTATTTTTCTGAAAAATGTAGTGTTTTTGTCACTCTAGTACATTGCATACTCCTTTAAGAATGTATCATGTATCTTTAAGTATTTTATAATACAGTAAATTTCAAAACTTTTTGAGAATTCCTCCTAAAAATAGTACTATAGCGGTCCATTTTTTCTCTTATACTATCTGTATCTTTTAGTTTTGGGAGCTTCAAACAGAGAAGTTTTAGAAATTAATTTTAAGCTCATAAAATTACTTGGATTATCCAGCTAATAAACTTACAACTTCACATATAATTTACTGTTGGTCCTTTATATTAATAGCTACTTGGCAAACTTCAAAGAAAAGTATTTTGAGCAAGATCTTTTATTAATTTTAAAGTAATAAAATCACTAACTCCTTGCAAAAAGTGTACTTATAAATTCAGCTTATGTGAAATCTTTATTCCATGACTTTTCTTTACTGTTATTTTTTCTCCTTGGTTTTATTGCTCAGATCCTTAAGTAATACAAATATTCTGTCTTTATTTTTTCTAGCTTTTAGTGTCCTTTATTTTACCTACCTGAATGTCAAGAAATAGCCCTTAAAATACTTACACAAAGGTCTAAAAGGAATAAACACCCAATTTAGCAGCTGTTTTCCCTGGTAAGTGGGACTAAAGGGAAGAGGAGAGATACTACCATTTTATTAAACTCTGTATTTTTGCCTGGAGTGTTTTATAATAATCACATCTTTTATAATTAAAAACAGGTAAGGTCTTTTTGTATCTAACTTCAACTTTTCATAATTCATAACTTTAGTAAAACAACTTGGTTATATAGGTTTAACTCATTTCATATAAACCCAGACTCAAATTTCAGAATTATCACTGTAAATTCCTTGGAAAATACAGAAGCTGAATTTCAAAGTTAGGGTGCTCATTAAACTACCTAGCCATTGTTTAACTATTTTCCACAAATGATGAAGCTTATATTTCCAACTTACCTGTAAATATAGTTTATTGTCTTTTGTTATAGCATCCATAAGTTCTTTCTGTAGAGGTGGGTCTCCATTTACCCAGAGTCCACTGGTTGAATTATTACCACTCAAACCATTAGTGCTGCTCTGTTTTCTATACAAAAGCACATAAGCTGTGTCCTTTGGAAATCTACTCGTAATTTTCTGGACTGACTGAAATGAAGTAAATGTCACTCTGCTGTCATTAAATAAAAACCATTCTTTTGACATTTCCTTATTTTCTAAATCCTGTTCCATAACTGCACTAGGACTATCTCTTGCTAGTAAATGACTCTGGGAGGAAGCTAATGCCAGAGTGTCAGACTGGTGGCACATCTGGTATGAGGACTCTGTACCTGTGATGTTTCTAGCATAGGAGTAGTAATGCCCACTTTCAGAGGATATACCAGAGTGAACGACAACAGAACTTAATAGATAGGGCACCAAAATGGGACAGCAAGCTTCTTCAGTCCCAGAAGGCTTTAATTTTTTAGCTAGGTTTTCACTAATATCAGTAAAGTCAACATCTATAGACCAACTTTCTGACAATGAAGAGAAAGAAGTAGTTCTTTTAACTGGCAACTCCAAAACCAGTGGCAGTGACACATTGTCTAAAATTTTTCTTCTCACGTGATACTTCTGATCATATGAAAATCTCAAGAGAGTAAGAATAAGGTATTCGGGTTCCTCCGTGATTTGCATAGTTTTCTCGGCATTCTGCAAAGAGGCACAGTTTTCACAATAATACTGGTTGTCTCCAGTAAGAATCTCTGGAGCCAAAAAATAATTTAGTAAGTCAGTTACTGAAGGTGTGGCTTCACCTCCTGGCTTCTGAGGTACATCTTTATTAATAAAAATCTTATTAGATTCACTAGGGACAGAAGTATTTTCAGTACAGCAAAATTCATCAGGAGGGTGGCCTGCCATTCTTTCATTCATAACTGAATCATAGACAAAGGTAGCTGCTGCTGGATTATAAATTCCTGGTTCTTCTGAAGGACCAGGACAGGCTTGCAGTAGACCACCATCCGGTATACTGAGCGATGATGCTGGATCTTGGAAAGACAAGCTGTCCATGGAAGAGGAAGGACAAAAGGCGAGGGAGAGATCAGTAAAGGCTTCCACTTTTTGTGAGGTACTCCTGCAGTTCAAACAACATATGTGAGTTCGTAGTTTTCCTCCAAACATTTTTTCTATCAAAGTCTTCTCACCATCACTTGTGTAAGGGGTCTCTGTCAGTACAGCTGCCTTACTGGCTACTTCCTGAGAAGTTTCAATGCATCCCAGACTTTCAGAAGGCTTGTGTGAGGACTGAACTTTCAAGATTTTTTCTTCTTCATGGAGCCTGCAGGAAAGTATATCATTACACAGTACTTCACTTACATTTAAATGTCATTTCTATTACAAAATATTGGTGGTTTATAAAGACAGGCCAATTATTTTTTTAGTCAAATATATAATGTTTAACTTAAAAAAGCAAGTTTGTCCTCTTCTAATCAAGAGGAATTCTGAACAGTTTGACAACATAGGTTAGAAGAGAAGGTACAGGCTATTTGGACACTGTATTTCATTACTTTTTTTATACTACTATTTTATAGCACTACGTTGCAGTTAATTGCATGTTCTCATTAACTGTCTTATTTCTTTGTCTGCCTGGAGTCTCATACAAAGCCTGGCACAAAGAAATCACTGTACATATCCTCAGCTGAATGGAAGGAAGGCCGTGTATGTCAAGCTCAACTTGCTTCACTAGTCTTTCATATAACAGAAAGGAAGATATAACATAATAGGCTTTATGAACTAAGTGCTAAGGAGACAATAAAATGTACCAAAGCCACACAATTATGAATCCATCCAAAGGAGCAGCTTTTACATTTCTTTGGTCTCAGGATACCTTTGTACTCTTAAAAATAATTGAGGAGCCCAAGAGCTTAAATTTATGTGGTTATATCTATCCAAAACTGAGATGAAAATAATCTATATTTAAAAATAATAAATCCATTACTTATTAATATAAATGTTTTCCTGAAAAAGTTAAATGTCATACAACAAAAAAACTTGGTGAGTAGAATGGCATTGTTTTAGAGTTTGCATATATTTCAAGTATTTGGCTTAATAGAAGACAGCTAGATCCTCATGTCTGCTCTGTATTCAGTCTAATGGTATATGTTGTTTTGGATGAAGTATATGAAGAAAATGTGGCCTCAACTACATAAACACAGATATATAGAAAGTGTTTTAAGAACTCTTAGGAGTCCTCATACCACACTTTGAGAACATCTGGTCTAAAGTAAAAAAACAAAAAACACCACCAACAACAAAACCTCACATTAATCATAAAAGAACATTTAAAAATATAATGCAACAACACTTGAAATATATATTTTAAGGCTAAAAACAATATTGTGTAGAAATAATTCGTTATGAAAGAACATAATTCAAATCATAACTTTAAAAATACTTTTTACCTAGTCCTGAATGGGTGGCTCAGTTGGTGGAGGACTGTCCCTTAACCAAAAAGTTTACCTGGGTTGTGAGTTTGAATCTTAGTCAGGCCATGTGTAGGAAGCAGTTGATCAATGTTTTTGTCTCACATCATCACATCAATTTCTTTTTCTTTTCTCCCTTCCTCTCTCTAAATATATCCTCCAGTGATCATTAAATATATATATGTACTTTTTACCTGTCTAGCAGAAACCTGAGGTATTCAGAACAGTCTTGCTGTGATCTGGGGGTAAACCATGGAGGTCTGGAAGCTTCAAAGAATATCCGAGGTGCATATGCTTCTCTCTTTTGATATCAGTAGAGAAAATACAAGAAAATGATTCTCACATCATGAACTAAAATCTGAAATCTTACTATATGTTGAATAAAGATTACTTTAAAAAATTATATTGAGCTTAACCTTTACTCTAAGCTGTCAAACATGTGGGCAAATAAACTAGTTGGAAATAGATTTAGATAACCATTAGTCGTAACTTCTCATTCTGTAGATGAGATTTAAGATCTAGAGCAGGGCTGGGGAACATCCAGCCCGAGGGTCATATAGGTCTGATGAAATCATTTGGTCTGGCCCTGACAAGGCATTAGGGGTGAGTTAATTGTTTGACTAAATTCAGCAGACTAATTTTTAAGCTGATAATTTTGTTTGGCCTGCAAATGATGTTATAAATATCCAAATGGCCCTTGGCAGAAAAAAGGTTCCCCACCCCTGATCTAGAGAAACTGTGTGACTTGCTCAAGGTCAGAAATTATATCAGGGATTAGACCAGGTCACATCTAACTCTGGGTCCACAAAATTGTTTTAATTGTTTAATTCTGTGAAAATCTACCAATTTAGTATCTATAAACTATTAAAATGCATTTTAAAAGATTTCTTTATGAGACTTTATTAAATAGAAAATAATTACAATAATGAGTTAGCATAATACTCATCTATAAAAATGGAAAGTAGGAGAAATAAATAAAAAATTTAAGGGTATATCCTGATTTTAGGCAGTATCTTTTTAACATTTCTAAGTAGATTAGTTATGCAGGGTGAGATATATATTTTTTCATAAATTAAAAAGGACTTTCCAAGTTTGGTATAATGTGAAATTTAAAGAATATTACCATAATAACATGAATATTAACATATTCATACTACTCATACTTACACTCACCTGTGTATGAGCCAAAAAGGCAAAAAGATGCTGTAATTTTTTCATTAATGAATTGCACCCATTTAGATTTAAAGATAATACTTGTCTCCTGAAACTGAAAGAGAATAAAATATAACGATTTTCATATAAATGTGTGCATACATATGCATTTTTTAAAAAGCTAAACGGAAGTTAGTTCAGGAACTTACCTTCAAAGTAAAACTTCACTCACCAATGGCCTCTTATCTAGCAAAGTTACTAATGACAATGTAGTGAAGAAGGAAGGGAAGAATGATGGTACCTAAGCACTTACTGTGTGGCCTGGTAAATGACCTATATGTACTGTCACATACCATTCCTATTTTCTGGATCACCAAGTAGAAATAGATTAAACTATTAATTAATACCCCAAGTAAGCAACTTTTAAATTCTTTCAAATCTGCATGAAATAAGTAATATCCTCCAATTAAAAGATCCTATAAAGTTAGAGTGATTTAAAAAATGGTACTATAGGAACAATTGGGGGGGAAAATGGAGTTAGGTAAGATTTTACATCATTACAAGTCCACTTGGGATATTGAGCTAAATGTGAAATATAAAACTACTGAAGTATTTAACAAAAAAAGAGAGAAAAAGGCTTCCTAAAATTCAGGCACTATAACTGAAAAATAGCAGAAGTAACTATATAAAATAATAAATTGCAAGTAAAACACTGCAAATTAGAATTGCACTGAGTAGAAAAATATAACAAAGAATTATCATCCAGATTATATAGAAATCAATATGAAAGTTTAAATACTAAAGCCTTTCTGGAGACATGTGGTATGTCCTATTCAAAGAATACCCTCTCACAAGCATATGGGGTGAGAGATTCATTATGAGCAAAACAAGCTATTAATAGTCACCAATAGGAGTAAGGTTGAGTGAATTATGGCAGATACTTTACTGAAAACAACACAGTTCTGTCACTGTCCTACCATGGGGATATTCCAAACTCAAACCTTATTTTTTTTATTGTTGACACTATTATAGATGTCCCCCATTTCCCTCCCCCCCTTTTCCTTATCCACATACATTTTTTTTTTATATACTAGATAAAGTCTCTTAACTATAAACAAGGTCTAGAACACTGCACATAAAACTTAAATTATCTTTGGGAATGGCAATGCCTGATTTTTAAAAAAATTAAAATTGTAAAATTTTTATGTACTTTCACATTCAATTTTTTAAAAGCACCATAAAGATTTCACATATTACCAAAGACATAAAATATGCTGTTTGCCTATTCTGAGATGGAATTATAATTGGCCACTGTCCAATAGATGAGCTGTTTGAACTGCTAGCCAGTTATAACTGAATTAGGTTACTCTGCTTTCTCTATCATCTATAAAATAAGATGGCTGGATGAGATGACCTCTGGTGGTGAGATATGGTTTCTTTCAGGTTTATGCCTAGTATTACTTGTGTTTAAGAAAACCTGAAAACAAAGAAAACACTAAACCAAACAAAAAACACCTTAGTTTTTGAGTGTACACATGTACTTAGGAGTCAGAAAATCAAATAAAGCTAACTCTTCATTTTTTAGTTTATGATTCCTCTAGGCAGGCATAAAAAGACCTGGAACTCAACTTCTATATATCTTTAGTCAAATTCCATGAATCTCTATTGGTGCTGAAGAGAAAAATTCAACCATGTTTTTGCCTTTAGGGAAAAAAAAATTTTTTTTTAAAGATAGTAAATGTATATTTTTTATTCAATGGAAAGCAAATGTTCTGTGATAAGTTCTTTCCAAATGAATGAATATTATTATGCAAATTCAGCATATCTGGCTGCCCTGAATTTAGCACTCCATAATAAACTTTACTCTTTGTATCTCACTGAGCACATCAAAAACCTACATGTTTTATTTATTGGCAAAAAATATATAATAGTAGCCTTTAGGAAAAATTTATCATTAGTTTGTAACTTTACAGATAGCATTCGCATAGCTAACAACTTCTGGTTTCCTATTTGCTTAGCTATAAAAGCAATGAATTTAAAAGTAAAACTGCAAGAGGGCAAAGGAACAAGTCTGTTTACACATTTGTTCAGTATTAATCAAGTTAAGGTGGGAAGCAGAGCTTAAACGTCTTTAGCAGCAACTAATGAGTTATTGATCTGATAAACTGCAAAATATCTACAGACAGAAAAATATAAATAAGACCCCCTCGAAAGATATACTGATTTAAAAAAAATCACTACTATCCTAGCCGGTTTGGCTCTGTGGATAGAGCCTAAGGACCAAAGGGTCCTGGGTTCGATTCTGGTCAAAGGACGTACCTCGGTTGCAGGCTCCTCCCAGGCCCGAGGCCTTGGTCAGGGCTCTTGCAGGAGGCAACCTCTCACTTCGATATTTCTTTCAGTCTTTCTCTCTCCCTTCCACTCTCTCTAAAAATCAATAAAAAAATATCCTCAGGTCAGTATTAAAAAAATAAAATAAAAGTTCATAACCTTATAGGATAATAACAAATTAGTAATTGAGGACACAAATTCTCAGGCATAAACTCAACCAATCACTCTGTTACAATAATAACTATCAAGTCGGAGTAATTCATAAGATTCTAAATGTAATATATAATATAAAGTAGAATTTACTTAAGTTAATATTTTAATAGTACCTTTTCATTTCTGAATAAGGCAATTGTATGAAAATATTAATATTTCTGCCATTTATAAGAAATAATATGAAGACAATCTTACCATTTTGCATTTCATCATCATGCATCAATTTCTACAGTTAAAATGAAAATAAAAAGCTTCAAATTTAAACTTAATTTAAACTTACTCTGTGGCCATAAACAATGCTTGTATAACACTGTTCATGTAACATGTATTTCCTAGATTAATAAGACCAGTTTTCCCAGTTTCAGATTTTCCAGAAAGTCTAGACAAGCAAGATGCCAAAGCGTCAGATTGAGAAGTCCAGGCACTTTGATTGAGAATCAATTTAATCTTCTCCTCACTGGGCTTAGGTAAGTCCTATTGATCATAAAGAAGAAAAAAATTTTTTTAAATATACACTATTCTTGTTATTAAATTAACATCATAAATGCTCTTCCACTAATATTTAACCTTTCCCCCCCCTCCCTCTTAGTTTTGATAGTACTTGACCAATTGTCAAAAACACACACAACAGGAATTAAGTCACATTTGAACTATTCATGTTTCATATTTATCAGAAAAATGTTTTAAAAATAAAACAGATCAGAGAGTATACTGTAGCACTATTCACAGGCTATAGAATAAGACCTAAATTATCACCCAATTCAATAACTGAAACCACTTTCTTTTATATTATGTAGTAAAAAAAATTTTCCTTTTCATTCACTACCAATACCCAGTACATATTAATCTTATAAAGTCTCAAAGTAATTATGATGAAAAATGTTTAACCATATTGAAAATTATTATAAAATACAGATTATTCTTACTTGCTTTGTGATTTATGAGATAATATTTAAGAGTAAGTGATTTCAAATATGAGTAGAGCACTGGAGAATAAGAATACTTGGTAAAATTATTAAGGCTTTTTGAACTAATATCATCTGGCACTTATATCTTAGATAATAAATAAATAATATCTGAAGGAATTTTAATCTCCTGGATTTTTTGGTGCTATTATAAAGTGCTTCCTGAGTTCAGAGTAAGACCCTTGTTTCTTCTGAGCTTATTTCAGTCAATAGAATTTTCAAGACATAAAGCATAACTAGCTTTCATCTATACACATAGTGACATCATAGAGAGAGATTAACACTATCAAATACATGACAGCTCTTATACATAAAGACATTTACTTCTGCAGTATCAAATGTCAAACCAATAGTATGAATTAATAATGCTGTGTTCTGGGTTCAACCAATATAATTTTGATTTAATTAAATAATAAAATGTTTATTTATTCATTTCAGATACAGAAGATGAAACCTTATATTGTATTTCAGATCTCAAAAAGAATTATCAATTGAACTGATTTATAATAATTTATAATTAAATCTGACTAAGGAAAGTTCTCCAATTCTTTTGCTACTCCCTAATTACGCAGTAAGTTTACTAAAAGTATGCTTAGTGTGACCCATTCTTCAAAACAGAGAATTAGTGGTTTTTATATTGAACATTTATACAAATTAAAAACACAAGGCAAGTTCACAAATAGTTCAAGTAAAGTTTCTATGACATATGGACATCCATGAACAGTCCACAGCTAAAATGAAATAAAAAAAAAAACACAGCAAAAAAACAAAGTTGTTTTCTTTAATGAACCCTGATTTTAACAAAATTTTTCAAATAAAAAGCATATTACCATAAGGAAATAAAATGAATAGCTGGTTATCATCAAACATCATCTATCACATGATGGGCTGCAGATCCACAAATACTGTTGCAACTATTATCATACCTTTATTGCTTCCAGAATGGGTTCGTAGAGATCTGGAAATCCAGAGTAATGATACATCATACAGTGTATTAATTCTGTTAACTGTACTAAGAAGGCTGTACTGGAAGGCAGACCATCACTTCTGAGGGAGTGAACCAAATTAACCACATGAGGAACAATCTGAAGAGAAAGGAAGACAAATATTCCTCAATCAATACAAACTAGCAACAAATTCTCTGGCTTACAAATAGAATTCAATTGTTACACAATAAACAAATAACTTTCCATATGTTCAGCTACACACTTTTTCTAAAACAAAACTGAGAAGTAAAAAATTTCTGGAATATCAAGGTAAATTTAGTTTTTAAAGTCACATGATTTTAATTCCATATAATACACCTATTTGTCATCCTTATTCTCCAACCAAAATGCAAACTAAAGTCCTAGTCACTGCAGTCTAAAAATGCCTTCAATTGAAAAATATTAGTAACAAACTTAAAAGATAAACCTAGGCCAGTGGATAGAGTGTCGGCCTGCGGACTGAAAGATCTCGGGTTCGATTTCGGTCAAGGGCATGTACCTTGATTGTGGGCACATCACCAGTGGGGGATGTGCAAGAGGCAGCTGATCGATGATTCTCTCTCATTGATGTTTCTAACTCTCTGTCCCTCTCTCTTCCTCTCTGTAAAAAATCAATAAAATATATTTTTTAAAAAATAAAAAAGATAAACCTAGAATTAGCATAAGAGCTCCATCTAGTGTGAATTTTAGAACTCTTACTTGGAAGAATTATACACGCTTTGTATATTAAAGTTTACTTCAAGAAAAGTCTTCAAAATACCTTTTGCATGTATCTAAAATTACAGCTCAGGTTACAGGATTACCTTTCATTTAGATAAGCATAGGGATGATGTCAGATGTTAGCATGGTGATGCTTACAAAATGACACCCATTCCTCTTAAAGGGAATCCGAAACTATTATTTTAAAAGACTGGGGTTAAAAATAAAAGGAAAATCTAAAATGCTCATTGCTTATAAACATTTAGAAAACTTTAGTGTTGTAAACACAATAATGTTCTTTCATTATAAAATTAGACTAAAAGTTAATACAGAAATAATATTTTAAGAGGTTATTAATAAAATAAACTATTTTGCAGAAATGGCTCAATCCACTGGTACAGTGTTATACTTGTTCCAACTAAATAATTATAATCTGATATTAGGTATTTATACTCATATGTAAAAGTATCTTAAGTTTTATTTAGAAAACATTTTTCGGGTTGCTAATTAGCAATAAAAATGAAGTTATAGCTTTAAGGTCTTATCATCAAATAGCATTAATAACAATTAATTGAGCCCGAGACCCTTCAGTCTGCAGGCCAATGCTCTATCCACTGAGCCAAACCAGCAAGGGTGCTGGTTGATTCTTGCATATGCCTTGCCTGTGTATTGAACTCGTAACCTTGGCATATCAGGACAATGGTTTAACTAACGATATATGTGACCAGGTCATATTTTTACTCCACTAAATTTTTTTCCCCATTTATAAAAAACACATAAAGACCAACTTGGTTCACATAATATTAATCTTGGTTTGCTCTAAAATACTTTAAACATATAATGAATAATGATGTTAGCGATTCCAGATTATTGCTCATACTTAACAACTCCTAACCTGAGTCCTTTGCTGAGTTATTTAGAGTTATAGGTGATTTAACTACAACATGACCCACTACTAGATGCCCAAGCTAATTTTAGTTGAGTAGGTAAGCTATCCCAACTACTCTGGCAGTAATTAGGTCTTTGTTTTTAAATTTTACTAAGTCAGATCACAATTTAATTTCAGATCTAACTAATCTATATACATAAAAGGCTAAGCGACCATCGCAACAGAAACAAACAAACAGATGACCAAATAGGCTGTGTGGGGCAGCCAGGCTGATAGGGGGGTTAGTGAAGGGCAACCAAATGACTGAGCAGCAGTCTGCATGGGGCTTCCATGCCCAGTGGGGGGTGGGGGTGGGGTACTGAGGGGTGATCAGGTTGGCGGGGGGTGGGAGGGGTAGTTGGGGGTGACCACACCGGCAGGGGGTGCAGTAAAGGGTGACCAGGTCGGCGGGGTGACCAGTTGGAAGTGACCAGGCTGGCATGGGGAGGCAGTTGGGGGCAACTATGTCTGCAGGGGGAGGGGGGGGGGGGCGGGCGGCGGCAATTGGGGGTGACCAGGCCAGCAGGGGTCAGTTAGGTATGATCAGGAAAGCAGGCAGGTGAGCAGTTAGGAGCCAGTTGCCCTGGACTGTGAGAGGGATGTCCAACTGCTGGTTTAGTCCTGGATTGGAGAGGGTGCAGGCTGGACTGAAGGGATTCCCGCCTCACCCTGTGTACAAATTTTGTGCACTGGGCCTCTAGTTCTTAAATAAATGATTTCCTATTTACTTACTTCAATAAGGCAAATAATTCAAAGGCAATCATTTATTATCTCAACTACTTTTTCAGAGAGATTAAGGAATGTGCCTATGCTCCATGAGAATAGTAATAAACCTTAGAATGGATGATTGTTGTTAGAGATTCTCCTTAGAAATTTTAAAAAATAATCTCCCCCCCTCTCCCCCCCCCCCCCCCCCCCCCAAATGGCATACACATGATTATGCCTAAAGCCAGGGACAAATAATTGATGTTTTTTTCCCTTGGGAGACTTTACTAGCATATTTACTATATTAGCTCAAGTTTGAGTTAACAAACTGATATAAGGTTATTGATTTAATGATCAAGCCCAACAATTAGGGCAATTAACTCCTGAAATAACTCATCCTAAGTGATTTCATACATTGCTGTTTTGTGGTGACAAATGGAAACATTTGGGAGAAATACTAAACATTTTGAAAATAGATTCTTTGGAGGGAAATCCCACAATCTCAGATTTCTAAAAAAAATCATAAAGCTATAAGTAAATAGATTTAAGATTAATGTACAATCTTTTCACTATATACAAATGTGACTCAATATTAAACTAAAATTTTAAGACAATGTAGAAACCTTGTTATAACTTACCAAATGGAATGCCTCTGGAGAATGCTGAAAACTAAGCAGCATGTGAGAAAGAACTGCAAGAGCACCAGGCCTCACAAGAGGAAACTGAAGTCGATTAAAAACCTTCAAAAAAAGACAAGACACCAATCTACAGTTTGCAAGAAAGTCCTTAACCCAATCAGTGGTTATTTTCCTAGGACCAAAAATTATTTATGTGAATATCCCCCTTTCTGGAAAGTTCTATCATACCATATGTTGACTTATTAAACCTTGTGAGAGGGGGAAAGCTGGAAAGTAACATGACAGAAATCAAGGGAATATAATGGCCTAAGCAACTCTTAAAACTTCCTGATCAAATGAAAATCTGTCAAACCAAGTTTTTAGATGGTAACTCCCTGGTCCATTATCAATTAATTTGACAAATATTTATTGTCTCTAGAGGGTGCATAGGAACAAAAAGTAACACGGAGATAAGTGATATGAAAACAGGGTATGATAAATAGGAAATGCTGCGTGGCAAAGGGGACTGGTATTTTATATAGGGTGTTTTTATATAGGGTATTTTTAAAAATGCCTCATGAAAAGCACCTTTTTCTTCCATATTCCATAAGGATGGAATATGCTAATTGACTGCCCCACCCTCAAAGATGGCGGTACACAGCCACAAGATGGTGGTGCCCAGTCCTCTCAGCCCCGCCAGGGCAGCACCACGCACCTGCCTCTGGAGTACCCCTAGTTCCTTGAGCCTCCCAGCTGCCCAGGACCGGCCCGAGGCACAGACAAGCCTTGGCTGGTGGCTGCCCAGCAGCCTAGGGTCACCCGAGGCTCTGGTAACCAGGGCTGGCTGAGGCTTGTGCTGCCAGCAGTGGCAGCATCAGAGGTGTGATGGGGCATTGCTTTCCCCTCATGGCTGGGTCACCTTTTGCCCTGAGGGCTCCCGGAATGTGAGAGGACAGGCCAGGCTAAGGACCACCCACTCCAGTGCATGAATTTTCATGCACCGGGCCTCTAGCAACCTTAATAAAAGCTTGATTAGTTCGATTTAAGGGAAAATGGAAGAAACATGTTTTCATATTAAATATCTGAAACAGCAAATTACTTATTACCTACACTTAAATAGCATTTTAATTTTTTATAGCCTATTCAAAATTATTATCCGAAACAAAACCAAACAAGAACATACTCAAAATTAGATGCTTTAAAGGGGACAACCCAAATATAAAAAGAATGATTATATAAGTTCATACATTCTAATCCTATATACTAATATGCTAAGTGTCTGGTTGTCCATTCAATCAAAGTATAATATGCTAATGATATGCTAAGGATGCTCAACCGCTCACTATGATGTGCACTGACCACCAGGGGGCAGATGCTCCAGTATGTTAGCTTGCTGCTGGAGTCCGGCAGATCAGGACTAAGCAAGACAAGCCAGTCATGCCCTCAAGCCTCCTGCAGTCTCTCCCTGGCTGGCCAACCTCCTGCATCCCTCCCTGGAAGGCTGGCCGTGATATACCCCAATAGGGACTAGGTGACCCAGCCCCAATTGTACACTAGTGGGGTCCCTTAGCCTGGCCTATGCCCTCTCGCAATCTGGGATCTGTTGTGGGGTATCGGAGAGCCAGTTTTCTCACAAGCCAGGCCGAGGGACCCCACTGGTGCATGAATTCGTACACTGGGCCTCTAGTAGACATATACTCCCACTTACCAGTTTTATTTTCAGTAAAGTAACATCTATCAAAATAGTAAACTTTTGGACTGCTGCCAGTCCTTTCAAGAGTGCAATCACCCATGTATCCACATGCTGAGCCAATGGCCAGGACAGCCAATCAATCATCCTGAAAATTAAAGAAAAAGAAATTATTAATATTGACAATATTTTCAACATTATTTAGAAATAATAGGTTACAGTAGATAATTACTTTCTTTGTGACTCACTATTTACTGAGCTTGCTTGTAAAAAGCACTAATCAAGATGTAGAAATGGGCCAAAGCCGGTTTGGCTCAGTGGAAGAGCGTCGGCCTGGGGACTGAAGGGTCCGGGTTCGATTCCGGTCAAGGGCATGCACATTGGTTGTGGGCACGTCCCCAGTGGGAGGTGTGTAGGAGGCAGCTGGTCGATGTTTCTCTCTCATCGATGTTTCTAACTCTCTATCCCTCTCAATTCCTCTCTGTGTAAAATCAATAAAATATATATTAAAAAAAAAAAGATGTAGAAACCAGTATAATGGGTGCTTGTACTCAAGGAGTTTCCAATCACATAAGCTGAGATTCTTATATAACACATTTTCATAAAAAGAATTTCTGATAAACTATCATTTTACCTTAAGTTTTAAATTTATGCTACATATTGATATTAAGAATTTATTAGGCAAATTTACTCTAAGAAGAACAGTTCAAATATACCTATCTGAACTAAGACAAACAGATGTAAACCAAAATTTTTTCTCTCTGGAAATATGAAATGCACTGTTAAAAACACACCTAGACTTTGAATTGTGATACAGGTCTCTTCATCCTTGTTAGAATTCTACTAAACAAAGTCAACAAAAGGAAACTTCAAATAGATGAAAGCGTACCGAATGTGCAAATGTCCTAAGTGGCCTCATTTTGCATTAGTGTTTTCCTTCTTGAATATCAGCCCAGTTAATTGGGAATAAAAACAAAATAATATAGGGTTTGATGGAGATTGTCCCTAATGTAGACATCAATCACAATGAAGACTTGTACAACTCTTGGAAAGCAATTGGGCCAAATGTTCATATTATTTGATCCAGCAATCCAATTTGGGGGATTATATAATAAGAAAGTAGTAGTGAAACAAAAAACAAACAGATTTTAGTCAGAGTGATCTGGTTTAAAAATCCAATTTACCATTTATTGCTGGGGACCTTAAATACTTAGGTAAATTATTTAACCTCTTTGTGTCTGTTTCCTTATCTGTAGACTATATATAGACATGTTTATTTTATAGAGCTTATGTGAAGAGTAAATGAGTTAAAATATATCACTGAAAATATTCATTGTGATGCCTCTCTTCTACCAAATATTTTTAAAGGACTGACTTCTAAATTGAAATGGTTATTTTTATAACAGCTAAGTTATAACTGTCTACATTAACACTCAGGTATTATCTTTATTAAGGTTTCTGCTCTTAAGATTTATTTTCCATTGGTCAGGGTGAATGCAACCCAGGTATGTGCCCTTGACCGAGAATCAAAATGGAGACCTTTTGTTGTATCTAACCAGAAACCAACTGAGATACACCAGTCAGGGCTGAGGCTGCTCATAATGTCTAATGGAACATTTGCATTTCTTTGCATTACAGAAAATGACAGTAAAATGTAAGTGCTAACATGGGGGGAAATATAGAGTATAGGGAAGTATAAGGTGGGAGTACGGTAAGAATAAACACTACTATCCTTTTCAATTATATTTGTAATATAAGAATAATTACTCTAGGTATGGGTTAAATAGCATCATGTAGCTAAATTAGAAATGTAATATAAAAACTGCATCAAACCTCCCATAGAAACCAGTAGGTAAAAATTAATTTCCAAATATATTTTAAAAACAAAATAAAATCATAAGATGGATATTATAGTTGTTTTGAAAAGATTGAAAAATTAAGACCAGGAGTGCTGAACGGAAAGAAGTGGAGTTTGCACTTGACTTAGTAAGTGGTGAAAGTCACTGCAGTTTGATCAGAAGGGTAAAATGAGTAGGTCAGGCTGACTTAGAGAAGAGAGATAAAGTCACTGCTGGCAAAAAAGACCAACGAGAAGACTGTTGCAACGTTATGGCATGAAATGAAAATGTAAGCTATTGTTACTTAGGCAATGAAGGTGAGGCTCCAACCAATTGATTTCTGATTTTACTTTCACTTGTGAAATCTGTATTTCTCTGTATCTTCCTATTTTACTTAGAAGACAACATAATTTATGATATATTCATTTCAAAAAGAAAGAAATTTTAGTGCTGTTGCAGTCACACTGGCACGAGTGTTGCTGCTCAATAGAACACAGAAGGAATGTTTTTGTGGACATGGAGGAGATAAAAAGTGTTTCTTAAAAGTAAATGAACAATGATAACTTTACATAAAGACTTAGAACTCAACCACATATAAATGAGAATTGATAAAGTGATAATAAAGGGAAAAGTCAACAAAAACAAGTAATATTAAGAAGATCCTAACAGTATGGTATCATAGGACTAGCTATTGAATAATAAGAAAATAAAAATAAGAAAAAAAACACCACCACATTTTAAGAGTCTCATGCTCTACCGACTGAGCTAGCCGGGCACCTAACCGCATTTTAAACAGACAAATGCTAATAGTGTATTACTCAGAAATCCTGATTGAAAGAGAAAGTAAAAGTAAATATTTAGCTAGAAGAAAAAAATAAGATCCCAGAGGGAAGAAACAGGTCACAAGAAACAATGAGCAAAGAAACTAGTAAAATACAGTAATAATCCAAAAAACTCCTGCCTGTACAACATATGTAAATGTATGTATATTTTTGAAAATTAAAAAACTGAAATAAAAATGGATTTGTCAATTACTGGGATGCCGGTCAAGCCTATAGTAAGGTAAACAATTAATTTGGAGACTCTTTATATATTTGATTCCATGATTTCAGTTTTAAACATTTCTCTCTAAGTTTTTCATTATTGACAAAAATGCAACAAAATATTTCCTCCTCCCAAATCTACAGTTACCATCTTTAGTGTCATGAAGAAGTACCTGCAAAAAGCTTGGGTCATACTTGCATCTTTGACATTTGGATCCGTAGTAAGGCTCTTGATGAGAACTGTAATCATCTGAAGAGGAATATGCTGCACAAGGCTTGCCAATGCTACAGAAGGTTCAAATGATGCATCTATTTTTTTTTAATTAAAAAGAAAAAGGGATATGGCAAGAAGGTTCAAGTGAAGTATTGAGAGAGAACAATTAACTAAAAAAAAAAGTAATTGCAGCAAAGATGTTAATTGGAAAACAGTTGTCAAGCTCCACCTCATGGGTACTGGTAACATAAAAGGAATGTTACATTACAGAAATTTAGAGATTAAGAATTACAATGATTGTTCATTCTACAGACAGAACTACTGCAATATAAAAACTATTGCCATATTGGGTCCATGAGTTACTTTATTTTCTTGCATTTTTTAATATTGTCTTTGTCGAGCTAAAATATTCATTTAAAAAGCAGAAATGTAAGATTTAATTCCCAGGTTAGATTGTCCAAAGTAACTTATAGCTATTAATTACAGTAGTCTGTACAGTGTTCTAAGGAAAATATTTAAAAATCTCTTAAAGTCCTAGCTGGTCTGTGGACTGAAGGGTCCCGGGTTCGATTCCAGACAAGGGAACTTGCCCAGATTGTGGGCTCAATCCCCCATAGGGATCATTGATGTTTTCATCTCTCTCCCTATCCCCTTCTCTCTGAAATCAATAAAAGTAAATTAAAAAAAAAAATATATATATATATATCTTAAACAAGTGAAAATTTGGGGAGAGGGAACTTTACTTAAACGATATAAAAATAAGCATCTTTATTGCTACAGTTGAAAAAGTTCTGGGGAAATATAACTCTAGCAACACAGGCAATACAAAAATTAAAAAAAAACAAAAACAAACCAATTCAGATCCTGCAAATACAAAGTTGGTAATGCTTTTGTAAATTTATTTAATTCATCAGAATGCATGGAGCTTGTTAAAACTGCTCTTCTGGTTCTCAAGATAAAGGAGGACACCTCTGTCACAAGTTCGATTTCCAACAACAGCCAGGGAGAACAGTTGTACCAAGTAGAGAGGAACTGAACATGATTTTGGATCTACTGTCCTAGAACCTACAGAACTAGAAGCTCCAAGTTCAAGTAGAATTCCTGGATGACAAAGCAGTTTCTTACTAAGTGTCACTTTGACCCCTCCCTGCTTCTAAGGATGCAGTTCCTGGGCTATCCTCCAAGTGAAAAAACACCCATTAGGTCCTCAGATTCTTTCCCTTCCCTCAGTCTCCTCAGGAACACTACTGTAGACAGGAAACATCAATACTCAAAAAACTACAGTTAACTGGGATTAGCCAGTAATAAAACTGCATGAATTTTAAAAAATGGGAAAATTAAAAAAACACACAAAAAAACAGGGGAGCCAGGCTGGTGAGGCTCAGTGATTGAACACAGACCTAAGAACCAAGAGGTCAAGGTTTGATTCCCAGTCAGGGCAGATGCCAAGGTTGCAGGCTCCACCCTCAGTAGGGGGAGTGCAAGAGTTAGCCAATCAATGATTCTCTTATCATTCATTGAAGTTTCTCTCTACCCTTTTCCCTTCCTCTCTAAAATCATAAAAAAAAGGGGGGGGGGGAAGAATCTCACGATAATAAAATAATAGGGTTACAGTGCAATAATAACATGGTAAACACTTTTAGGCTACCATTAGTCACTAATGAACAGAAGCTTTATTTAGTAGCTGTCATCCCCAAAGCATTTCACATCTAGAGCAGAGGCTGGGTAATTAAGCAACTTGTTTAGTGCCAATGGTCTTAGACCTCGAAGTTCTCAACGTTTAAGATAAAAACACGGCCTGCTCTTTAAAGAAACATCCTGAATAGGACAGTGGATGGGAATAACATTTTGAATGAGGCACTAAGATTTGTTCTCCATTAACAATATGCTCAGGGCAGGGAAGCAAACATGGTGTATGTATGTGGGCGAGACAGGTCGAGCTTCCGAGAGAGATTTTCTTGGGATACAGTGACCCTTACCCGTGGAAGAGATGCTTGCAAAAATTTCCTGCAGGGAAGGCAGCAAGGTGGAGGGTTCGGCCTTCCAGATGTTCTGCAGCAAGTTGCTCACTTTGGTCACCTGAGCGACATACTCCCGCAGCTCTTTCTCCTGGGTGGACTGGCACTGGAAGTGGCCTATCGTTCGAACCAGCTGCTGACAGAAGGTGATGGACAACTTCCCCTTGGGGATGCACTGCACGAAGTCGCTCAGGAGGTCGCTGAGCCGGGCACACAGCGGCGGCTCGGGCCGCTCGCACACCAGCCGCAGCACCTCCACCTGCAGCAGGCCGAAGAGGTCCAGCACCGAGGGGCAGCTCATGATGAGCTTCAGGCCGTTGTGGATGTAGTCCAGGATGGCCACATCCTTCCTGTCCAGCGAATGGTAGCCCTGCTGGAGAAGGCCCAACACGAGAGTCTTGTTGAAGAAGGATTCGAACTCGGGCCGGTGGTACCGTGCGTAGGCCTCCAGCACCTGGTGCCCCACCTGCCGCTGAAAGGGGTCTTGGCCCTCCAAGATGAGCCGGGTGGTCAGGTCAAACATAGCCTGGCACTGCGCCTCGTCCTGCCAGTGCTCGGCCGACTCCACCACCTTCCGCACGATCACCCGCTTCACCGGCAGCGGGTAGGACGAGCTCACCAGGCCCTCCAGGATCTTGTCCATGGTCGTCACGTCGCCAGGCCGAGCGGCAGGGAGCGGGCGGAGTCAGCCCCGAGGTGGGGCGAGAGGGCCCCGGGGCGGAGGTACACTTGGAGCACAGCAGCAGCAGCAGCAGCAGCAGGATCGGCCACCGCCACCGCCGCCTCAGCAGCCACATTTATCGGGCAGGGGGGCCCATGCAAGAGCGGGCGGGAGGAGTTGGCAAGCGTGGGGCGCGGGAGAGCCAGCCCCGCCCGCGGCGGGCCTAGGGAGCCGGAGGCCCGCACGCCGCCGCCGCCGCCCCGGGTCCGCGGTCCTTCTCAGCATCAGCTCGGAGGCGCCAGCGGAGGGCCCCCGGCAGCGGCGGGCTCTTCGGACGCGGGGTTGTGAGCCGGCAGGTGGAGGAAGCGCGCCTCCGCGGCACGGGACAGGGGTGGGCGTTCGGGCTTCAGCAGGTGTGGAGACGAGACGGGCCCTGGGCTGAGCCAGGTGGAGCCGCTGTCACCGAGGGTGCCGCCTGATCTGCCGGGAAGGGAAGGCGGACACCCTTGACCCGGATTCAGAAGGTCCCCAAATAGGAAGTGACGGAGTCCTTATCTGGGTCAAGGTCCGCCCCTCCGCGCCGCCCCAAACCTTCCCTTCCCCCCCCCAGGGCCCCGCCTGCGCCCCACCAGCCTCCCCCTCCCCGCGGCGCCCGCCCCCGCCGTCCGGCCCCGCCCCTTCGCTGCTGCGCACGCGCGGCCGCCTCCGGTGGAGTCGCAGGACGACGCTCGCGTCACTGGGGATCGAGTGTCAAGTCACAGGCGCCTTTCCGGAAGGAGGGCCCGCCTTTCCGGAAGGAGGGCCCGAAACGTAGGTGTCTGCAGCGGCAGCATCCTCGGATTTGGGATTCCCACCTTCGGATCTTTGTCGGTTCTTCCCGGGTCAGGTTACTCGTTGAAGCCCGAGAAATTGCTGTTTATGTAAAATGTGAAGGACAAAGTTTTGGAAACGCAAGCACTTGAGGAGAAAGAAGGAAAAAAAAAAATAACTCAAATGGAGGAGACATCGCTTAGGGGCTTGGCTCATCCATCAAGAAACGAGCTAGAGTTCCTAAACATGCCAGTGCCTTTCTTCTCCTTTGTGGTTTATAAAAAGTAAAAACTGCCCCCGTGGCAGAGGTTTAGCGACATTCAGTTTCAGGAGAGTTTGTTTTTTCAAGCCCCTAGCAGATATTTTTTTAGAGAGCTTTTGTGGCCTATGGAAAACTTACAAGCTGTCTAAAAAGTGGAAGGAGAGTTACTGGAAAATGACAGGTGAGAAAATGAAAGATGGGTATATGTAGGGCATCCCCAAAAATGTATACACACATTTTGAATTACTATAAGGACAGTGTTTATTAAAGTACATTTCGTTTTCAAAATTGAGCTATCAGCTTTTAAAGTGTATACATTTTGGAGGGACACCCTGTATATACCTGGGTCATAGTAAAGAGTACTATGAAAATTAGTTGAAAGCTTCACATCATTTAATATATGTATATGCTGCCATTGAAGATAGTTCATAACAAGGAAGAACAGATACAGTCATCATGCTTGTACTCAAAGTCCAAAGATTCACAGTAAGACTTTTGGCTTTAATCAGAGGCCTTTATATTGGAAAACATTCCCTAATTATAACCCTGTACAGAGTTGGCCTGTAATAGTTGTGAACTCAGACATTAATGGCCTGTAATATGGACACAAGATTACATAAATGGTTTGTTTTAAATACCCAATAGAAAAATGAACAAAATTGTAAGTTGTTTACTTTGCTAAATACCGTTTTGAGTGTGTGTGTGTGTGTGAGATTTTTTTTTTTTTTTTTTTTTTTTTTTTTTTTTTTTTACAAAGTGGTTACACCAATATACTTAACACATCAAGTAGGATAATCTTAAAAAGAATAGTTAAAGAGATAGGAGCTGGGCAGAGGAAATGAGAATAAATTTGTGGGAAGAAATTGAAGATAAAAGATGAAAAGAAGCTAAGAAACTTTTCCTTTTCAAATAGATGTTATGTAAAACTGCAGTGAAAAGTCTGGCTTTATTGGGAATGGTGCCACACTAAAAGAAAAAAATAGGGTGTTTGAGCCTTGAGCTATGAAATGGGAGGTCATGGTTGGATTCTGGCCAGGGCACATGCTTTGGTTGCAGGCTTGATTGCAGGTTGCAGGTTTGAGTAGGGGGCATTAAGGAGGTAGCTGCTTTGGTTGCAGGTTGGAGTAGGGGGCATGAAGGAGGTAGCTGATCAATGATTCTCATCATTGATGTTTCTCTCCCTCTCCCTTCATCTCTAAAATCAATAAAAATATATTTTAAAAAAGACCAAAATAATATAGAAATTAAAGCATTAAACTTTAGCTTGTTTGGCTCAGTGGGTAGAGTGGCAGCCTTCGGACAAAAAGGTCCCAGGTTCAATTCTAATCAAAGGCGCGCACCTTGGTTGCAGGCTCCTCCCTGACCTGAGCCCTAGTCGGGCTTGTGTGAGAGGCAACCAACCGATGTGTTTCTCTCACATCGATGTTTCTCTCTGTCTTTCCCTCTCCCACTCTCTAAAAATAAAAAATAAATTATTAGAGGATTGAGTATGTGCATTTGAAATGTAGCAGAAAAACATTGGAGTCAATTGAGGCTAAATGAGGATTGGTGAACAAGAGTAGAGAAGTGATTAATCCAAAGCAGATAGGAAAAAAAATATTGGTTAATTAAAAAGTTGACAAATTCTCTGAATCATCAACATTTCCCCATTTCTGTTAATATTATGTCTTCAGAAACTATTGTAAAATAAGATGTGTGAGAGATACAAAGTGCATTTTTTCCCTGTCTATATGATACAGATAACATAATTTCATACTATCAGGCTTCCCAAAGCACTGTGACTCAGTATTTTTGTTGAGGATATCACCCCAGGATATTTTTCCCATTGATTTTTAGAGAAAATAGAAGGGGTAAAAGGAGGGAGAGAGAGAGATATCAGTTGGTTGCCTCTCCCATGCCCTCTGCCTCCCCACAGGCCAGGCCGTGACTCAGTATTTTTAAAGTACTGCTTGAGTGACAGGTGCACGAAACAAGATATTTGGCAGGTTCTTATGCCAAAGTATTCAAAACATGTTTCCTTCTTTTGCCATTAGTAAAAAAAATTACATACTATGTTGTTATGATATAAGATTTCAGTTGGAAGCGGTCTACTTTAAATAATTTACTTGATAACTAAAAATTAAATAACAGTGCCATATTCCTGTTCAATATTATTTTACTCTTTTTTTTAAATACATTTTTTATTGTTGATAGAATTACAGATATTTCCCATTTTCTCCCCCTCCCCCTTCTCCTTCCAGTCTTTACTCCTCCTCTCCAGGTCTTCACCACAGAAGTCTATGGAAAGTTTTTACTATAGTATGCCTTGTTGCTAATAATTGGATTAGTAGGTGCTATCCTTCGGGCTTTAAGATTTTTGTGACCATTCAATTGCTAGTTAGATGGTTTTATAAAAATACAACTGGGAATGGGAGTCAAGTGATGGGAATGAAAGAAAAAGCTCAGGTAGAAAATTATTGAACACCCTCTATTTGCCTGAAACAAAATTTATACTTTATCCTTCGTTCTCAAGACAGACTTTTGGAAGTAGATGTTAATAGTTTCATTTTATAGGTAAAGTAATGAAGCCATAAAAGTTTAAATAAGTATTAGGTGAAAATTGTGTTTGTTTGTGATTGGCAAAGAGAAAAAGCATTTCCAAAAGTAGGTTAGAGTTGGCCAACTGAAACAGTTCTATTATTCTATTAACTTTCCCCTATGGTATTTATGTCATCCTATAACATCAAATTTATTGTGTAGAATAGAAAGAATTATTGTTATTGGGAAGGATGAGGTATTCCTTCCTCCATTTAGTGTTAGAATTTTCTGAGTCTTGCATAGGAGACTGAGTGATTTTTATTTGTGTAGAATTACATCTTTACGTTTCTAAAGTCCCATTCCAGTCATAGAAGTATAGTTAGGGTTTCAGTGGAGCTAAATACAAAGCCAGTGTTCAGAGTTTCCATTCCAAGTTGCAGCCAGTTCCAGTTCAATATCAGGCTAATTATAGTCCATTAGTCCATTGTGTGTGGGTCTACATGGCAATCTGCTTTATTCAGTCTACTTAGTCAAATGTTAATCTCATTCAGAAACATCCTTACAAACACACCAGGGAATAATATTTAACCAAATATCTGGGCATCTTGTGGCCTAGTCAAGATGGCATACATTAACTCTTGCAATCCACCTCTTATCAAATTAGCACCCATACACTTTTCAAAACCATATTTAATCTCCAAATAAAGACAATCCTATCTAATAAGAGGGTAATATTCAAATTAACCATCACTCTGTCACAAAGATGGCAGCGCCCATAGCACTCCGACCATGCAGAGGCAGGGGCCTCTGGCCAGAGGTGAGGGTACGGGATGTTGGCGTCATTGCAGGCTGGGCTGAGAGACGACCCCTACAGTCCCCTTTTTCCCCCCCTACCCTGCACGGATTTTGTACACCGGGCCTCTATAAGATCATAATTCTACCTAGTCTGCATACAATCAGAAAAACTAAACCTTTCCCCAGAGAGGAAGTAAAGTCCTTGAGGGATGTTTACTCTTCTCCTTGATATCCTGTAATTTAAATATTATGATATAAAATTACCAATACTTAAGTACTGTATGCTATGTTACATGATAAGGGAATGAAAGAGGAAAGAAAATATATATACATATATATATAAAATAAGGGGGTAGAAATGGGAGTGGCATCATTCACTATTACCTCTAGTGACTTATTAGCAAAATTTTTGCTCTCTATTTTGTGTTCAGGCAAAGAAAGGCTGTGCTGGCTGGGTGACTGGAAAAAAAAATTATATATATATATATATATATATATATATATATATATATACACACACACACATATATATGTATATATATGTATATAATATATATAGCAAATATATATACAAGCATACTTATAATAAATTAAAGGGGAATACTTAAGACAATTAGTTTTCATTATTATAACTGGTCATGTGATAATAGATGGTGTTTATAACAACCCTTTTACACTATTCTGTATTCCCTTTGCTCTTAATAAACACAAACTGGTTGTGGTTCTTTGCCTGGTGGAGTGACCCAAACAGTCATTCCTGAAGAACTGGGCCGTTAGGAGTCCTGTGTGGATTGGATTGTTCTAGATTTCCATTGACTTTAATCACAGGGCATGCAATACTAAGAGATGCCCTTTGGGGTTTCTTATAATCCAGACAGAGTACATTCCTTATTTCCATGGCAGAGTCCTATTTCCCTTTGATAGTCTGGATTAGTCACCCAGCCAACACAGCCCTCATTTGCCTGTTGATTCATAGGTATGAGGAATCTAAAGTAGTCTAGTGGCATTCTTAACTCCCAGTGGGATGGAATCATTATTGTGTTTCCTGATGGAAGCATCCTTCCCTTTGGAATTAAGATTTCTAAGCCATCTGAGCACAAGATAGGGAGCAAAAGTTTTTCTAAGGTTACTAGGGGTAATAGTGAGTGATGCCACCC